AGTACGTTGTCTTACCACACAATATTGAAAGACGCCATTTGGAGTCCAACTAAGAGCTCGAAAAAAAAAATACTTTATATGATTTTTTTTTTACAGCGGAGCTGTTACGGCCTAGTTTCTCCAGGATTGTGTCCCCCGCATAGAAATGAAGACACCGAACTCTGGACACCTACCGCCATCTATGAGCGACGGCGGCAAGCCACGTATCTGGTTGCCGCCGTCGCTCACAGATTGCGGCAGCTTTTCCACTCTGGCTTGCCAACTTCCGGCCGGCCATTACTTTACATTGTACAGCTCCGCTGGTCTTCCTTCTTGACCAGAGTAGAAAGGGTGAGTTTTTTTTAGTCAACTGGCATTTAGGTGTTAACTGCAATATTCTTTTACTTCGTTCTCTTAAGACTAATAATGAAATTGCTTCTGTTATATTTTCAATACGTCGTATTGTTGAGTTCTAACTAAATATAAAAATCTCCAGTTTATGCACAAACGGTCATATCGAGAACCATAAGAAAAGGTTGTATTTTTGGCCCACAATGTGTGAAGACACAAAAGCGATAGCTGCACGGTCGCGCAATGCGGGTGAGATGGTGCTGTCACGTACCTTACCTGGGTAAGCGCGATGGAAGCTTCTAAAACGATCTAACATTACGCGCAGCAACTGGATACTGCCAAAGTGGGATTTCGCATAATGCGAGGGACGTTTAAAAACAAGTTTTCTAGCAGACAACATGGAAGACTCCTTTCTTAGCACCGTAACTGGCGGGATGGTCGACAAGAAAACACATTTACCTGGCCTCGTGCCAAAAGTGGAGAGGGGTTTTTGCGTAGCGGTGACGACTGAAGGCAAGGTCGAAACCTCTGCAAAGTGTTGCCCGTAAAGCAATGTGGGGTTATTGCTCTGAATATGGCCGTTTCTGCGTAAGCTGGAGATTTTGTTGTTTAATTAAAATGCAATGAAATGAGACTTTCAAACTTTAATACTAGCAATTCAATTATTAATCATGGAGAACAAAGAGGGATATATTTGATCTGACACTGAAATTCAGGTTGACAGAAAAGCAAATAAGTCTCATAAAGTCTCTTCTTTAATGTAGCATAGGGCATATTAGGTAATTAGGCACCCACCTAAATTTATGTGGTAAGCAACTGTTTTTTAAGAATGTTTTTCTTAACTTCACAGGGTTTATGCAAATTCCAGAAATTTAGAGCATGATATCAGCAAAAATACTTTTTTTTTACAAAACAAAAAAATATATTTTTGGAGTTCAGATTTTTTTTTATCCAAATTAATTGTTTCGTACATAGCTCACAGTTTAAAAAATTGCTGCGTTTTCTCTGGCATTGAATAATACTGTTGTCGTTGTGCCACGAGGGCGTGCCATATCCCTTGATGGACTTCACTCCAGACGTTGCTGTCGTCTTCGGCATGATTCTCATGAACGACGCCGCCAAGTCGAAGGGTGACCCGAAGAAGCGCAAAAGTGGGTATTTCGGGGTCTTGAGGGCTCCTAAACTTTTCACTCTTGAGGAATGCCCATCTCTCTCGACTACTAACCGACAAAGTCTTCCTGGTCACAGTATTGGTGCAGTAAGGGGGATGCTGGTCTTTAACTGTTGGTTGTTTACTTTTCGATCATTGTGCTGAAATTTAGTATACTGATGCATTTCTGAGTGGTGATTTCAAATGTGCAACTTGTTTTCAGGTAGCTTTCTAGATCCTGAGTTATCAATAATTTTTGTAATTTTAATTTGGTCCTCTTTACGGGTAGTTACCGTAAATCTTCAGAATTTATTAGAAAGCTTTATAAGATAGCATTCCCCAAAACGTGCTTTGTGCGGTGATACTATTTTTGTTGCTTTAAATGTCATACAATAATTTTAATTAATTAGTCTCAAAAAGACATAGCCTCCCATTTTGTGCAACTTGTTTGCAAATCTTTTTTACCATTGTAATATCATTAAATTAGGCTTAAATACCATCACTGCACAAAGCATGTCTTGGGGAATGCATTCTATGAAAACTTGTGATATATTCTGAAGAATTTTATGCAAACGATCCGTAAGGAGGACTTAATTAAATTTACAAATTGATTGATAACTCAGGATCTAGTAAAGCTATCTGAAAACTAATTGCCTATTTCGAATCACCTCTGAGAAATGCATTAGTATACTAAATTTGAACACAATAAATGAAGAACAAAAAGTTAAAGACCAGCATCCCCTCTAAAGCAGTGCAGAAGCTTGCAGACTTCATAAACAATAATGCCCACGCCAGGAATAGTTTATTGCGTGGTCACGCATGAGTAGACGGCTCGGGTCCTCTAAATTAATGCTTAATTTGGAAGGACACTTCAACTAGGAGCAGGGTTTTTTGAGGAAACATAAAACATCAAGATGCCCCTAGGGTATTCCAAAGAACCCCTGGGCACCTGAAAACCCAGTTGGGAAACAGTCGGTCGTTTTAAAAGCTTGAACTTCCCGGATCTTGTCAAAACGTGCGAATGTTGCGATCGAGCGACCCACCTGAAGTTCTTTTATGCTGTTCCTCCAAATTTTAAAATTTAAACAGAATGTGTACGCCGTAGAAAAGGGCCAAGCAGAAACTGCGGAAGGCGTGCACCGAGACGGTGGCGCCACGGTGCGGCTGCTAGCAGAAGGCTTTTGCGTAGACCAGGGCCGCACCGGCATGGATAGCCTGCGCAGCAGCAAACTTTTCTAATCTATGTCAGCTTGCCTAAGAACATCGACATACAAACGTTCAAGGCCACAGTTGGCGCTAACTTTTTATGCAAGGCCTGGAAATTGAGACTACAAATTTCCTCCATGCGACGTCGAAAAGCGCCGCTATCATCTCGATCTCAGGTACGTCTATTCGATCCGCCAGCGAGCAAAGAGCAATCAGTTAATAAGAGGAACAAAAGATACTTCTCCTGCTGATTCTTTTCAATTACTGGCAGTGGTAAATATCGTCCCATAGTGATTTCTTGAGTGTCATACACACAAGTCTCTTCAGGCATTTTCCAGCACAGATTGCAGCTTACAATGGCAAGGCAGACTATTAAACCCTAGCTTCATGTAACTCGTGCTGGTCACATGACAGAAAACACGTCCAGAGCAATGATGGTCGGGGGTACAGTTTTGAGCGTCAAGGTGCCAAACCTTCGCTCCAGAGAAAGATTGAGGAAAAGGCACCAAACCACGCTGTGAACGTCGTTGGACAGCGAAGCCGTGGTATCACCTGCAACGATTGCCCACTGCACTATAGGCCCTTTTTATGACAAACGCTACCAGGTGGTGTTCAGTCTTTGCCGTCCCAGAGAACTTCCGGTTTATGAAAATAATGATTCACGCGTTGCCATTGTAAGGAGGCTACCTAACACTACTGCTTGAAATGTAGATGAGACGTTTAACCACCAATTCTCCAGGTGAATGCCAGAAGGACGAAGGAGTGTGATATCTGTAAAAATGTTTGGAGTATTCTTGTAAACCAACTTGCCTCCTCCAAGATGCAATATTGTACAACCAAAGGCCCTCGTTAAATCTCCAACTTTGTTGTCCGTCTAGCATTTATGCTTCCTAGCACTAGTGACATAAGAAAGCTCAACAGGCTTGCAAAGACAATGCGACCGGAAGTCGCTTGGTATGCAAGTGGCAGTTCATGTTTGTAAACAGCAAAAGGGTCTATGCCAGGGGTGGCCATGCTGGCCCGGACAAAGAGCCGCAAACAAAAGCACTAAACTTCCAGGAGCCACCTGAAAGAGAAAAGGCAGAAACGAGAAAAAAAAGGGGGGGGGGGGGAGGGGCGCAAGTTGTAAACTTTTTTTAGATTAATAACTGAAACCTGAACTACTTTAGATCTATCCGAGTCAAAAGCAGTCCGACTGTACGTATGGTAGCAGTAGCACAAGACCGAACCGCTCCGCTGCCAGCTGAGCACAGCTGGCAGCGAGCTCGCGCCGCTGCCAGCTGTGCTCAGCTGGCAGCGGTAGGAACGGCCTTTTATCGTTTATCGGCTCCGGCCAACTGCAGTTTATTTGTTACGAAAGTGTGCGGTACGGTACGAGGAACCAGCCGATACCAACATCGCGCAAGTGGTATGTGAATTTTCGCCTCTTTTGGGACTTCGAAAATTCGAGGCGAGCAAGCGTTGCTAGGCCTTAGGCTTAGCGCACGAGTACGGCCACCGGGGCGATCGCCCCCGGTGTTAGGCCTACCCGACGAGTACGAATAAGATGGCGTCGCCACCGACGATGGAGGTGTGCGAAAGCCCGGCAACCAAAGGCCTGCAGGCAACGATAGTCGGCAACGATGAAGGGAAGATGTACGTTCAAGTAGGAGGCCGCGACGCGACACTCGGCGAGTCGAGCGGATGGACCACGACGAGTAGAAGAATGCGCAAGGCCAAGGAGCTGCAAGGTGAGAGACCATCTTTAACCGCGGAATGGCAGTCGAGACCCAAGGAGAGAGTTAACTTTGTCAAGCGAGTTACCGAGAATATCAAGAAAGCAGCCCGTATGCCGGCGGCTATCCCCAGAGACGACCATAAGATCGTAATTAGGCCCAAAGGCGGCCTGAACGTAGCTCGAATCGAGACGCCGGTCGTCACGGACGCCATTGTGGCGGCCGCGGGGACGGCGAAAGAATACCAGGGCGAAGACATGGTGTGCATCAATGCGGCGCAGAACATCTTAGTCGTGAGCACGCCGAGCGAGCAGAGAGCCGAAATTTACACTAAGATCAGGACCGTCGAATTCGGCAACATGGAATTTGAGGTTTCCGCCTACCGAACCGCGCCCGAAGGGACGGCGAAGGGAATCATCAGAGGTATCGCAATTGACGACTCGCCCGAAGACATAAATGAGGCGGTCGTGACAAAGTATAACCCAACGGCGCTAGAGGCGCACAGGATTGGAAATTCTACAGCGGTCATCGTCCTCTTTTAAGGACAGAGAGTGCCCCGGTACGTAATATACCGAGCGGCACTGCTCAAGTGCGGGCTTTACAGGAAACATCATGAAGTGTGTAGATGTTGCGGAAAAGTCGGACACCGCATCGACGTATGTCCAACCCCGGAGACCAGAGTATGCTTCGCGTGCGGGGAGGCCAACCCCGACGCGGACCACGAGAAGGCATGCAAGCCAAGTTGCAAGCTATGTGGAGGACCGCATCCGACGGCAGATAGAATTTGCAAGAACAAGTTCAAGGTCCCCTTCGTCGTCACGAAAAGACAATGGGAGCGCCGAGAGGAACGCGAACAGCAACAGCTCCAGAAGACAAGACCACCAATGACGTCACCGGACTTTCCACAGCTGCCGAGCAGGGAGAAAAGCGAGTGCAGCGAAAGGCAACGGCGCACCGACAGCCGCGAAAGACACAAGAGCCAGCAAAAACACCTGCCGCCGTCGCAGCAGGAAGACGGGAAGCTTAAGTGGTTGGCTGCAGTTAAGGGAAGCAAGTCGAAAGAAACGCCCCGCAGCAAGCAGCAGCCACCATGCCAACACCATAACACCGGAGAACCGCCCTTGACAAGGCGAGAAATGTACGACATGATCAACGAAAACAACGAAAGGCTACTACAGAAGATGGAAGAGAAGATGGACGCAAGGATCCACAAACTACTAGAAGCAATAAGGGCGAGTCAAGCGCCACTGTCACTGCCGACCCCGCAACAGGAGCAAGAGGTGGAGCAGATACCCCGCTCTCCTCGAAAAAGAAAACCCCAGCAAAGCCACCTAAGAGGAAGGAGGAACCAGCCATCGCCGAAGAGGAGGCTACCAAAAGCAGCATCGAAAGCGACGAGGAACAGCCAAAGGAGCCCAGCAACAAAAAGAGGATTATCGAGAATACCAAAGAGAGAAAGCTCATGGCCAGGCTCGACCGCATGGACAAAGAGCGGGAACAAATTGCACATTCGATGAAGGAAAAATTCAACAAGGTAGAGATGACGCTGGGAGAAATACAAAGCGGAATGCAACAACTACAAATGCAGATGCAAACGTTCCTGCAGAGTATGGAAGCCAAGATGCAGACATTCGTGCAGAACGCCCAAACCCAGATCACCACACAAATACAGCAATTATGAACCCAACAGCGAAATCGAACGCCAAGCCAGACAAAAGGGCAGTAACAGACCAGCAGCCGGTCAGGGACCTCCTGATTTGGCAGTGGAATTGTAACGGCTATCACAATAAGAGGGCAACGCTAACACGGCACCTACAGGGAATGGAGAGGAAACCGGACGTCATTATGATTCAGGAAACACTATGCCCTGACACACCCCAACTTCAAGGATACAGAGCACACGCCAAGGCGGCCAAGCCCCTAAACAAAAAAAAAGAAAAAGTTTGGAATACGCAAACCAACAGGCGGGGTGTGCACATTCGTCCGCAAGGGCATCGCATTCCTCGAGCACGAGCTGACCACCGGCGGCTGGACCGATAGCAGCGCGGTGGAGGTGATCGTTGGGAAGAAGAGGAAAACCAGCGTGCTCGCGGTCAACGTGTACAGCAGCCCCAGACATAGAAAGCAAAAGTTCCGCACGCTCATGCAAAGGGCACTGTGTGCGACGAAGAAAGGCACGATCGTAATAGGGGTGACTTTAACGCACCACACTACGACTGGGGATACGATAAGACAACCGAAAAGGGGAGAGACCTATTGCAAGACGCCACGGACGCGGGGCTAACGCTAATCACGAACCCGGAGACCCCCACAAGAACGGGTACTTCGGTCGTCAGGGACACCACCCCGGACCTGACGTTCGTCGAAATAAATGGGAACGACACCGGAACGTGGAAAAACACCAAACACGACTTCGGCAGCGACCACATGGTCATAGAGATCCGGGTCCCGCTGGGGAACGGTGAAAGCCAAGAGAAACGAACACACAGACACACGAACTGGGAGGCGTTTCGGCGTCAGCTCCCAAGCCAGCATGGTAACATTGAAGAAATAGAAGCGTGGTCGAAGGCGATAGTAGAAACGACCGAGGAGGTGACAACAGAGATAGAAACGGACGAAGACATACACGAAATGGACAGCAGATTGGCCCACCTCATCGAGGCGAAGACTGCCCTCAAGAGAAGGTGGAACCAACAACGAACAAACAGAAGGCTCCGCAAAACGATCGCGGAAATCAACAGGGAAATAGAGAAACACAGCAAGGAGCTCGGCCGGCAGCAGTGGGAGCAAACGTGCAGAGAGGCGGACGGCCAACTCCATCTGGGCAAGACGTGGCGACTGCTCCGACACCTCGTCGACGACACCCAGACTAAGGGAGAACAACAGTACAAGCTCAGCAGAATTATACACAAGGCGGTAGCGGAGCACGGGGAAGCGGAGGTGAAGAGGAGACTCGACGCCAAATACCTCCCGGTTTCCCCAAAGGAAAAGCACCCAGAATACCAGGGGGCAGAGAACATCGAGGTTGACCAAGATATCGAGGAATGGGAGGTCCGAAATGCGATTCAAGACCTGAACAGGCGTTCGGCGTCGGGCCCGGACCGCGTCAGCAATAAAGCGCTCAGAAACTTGAACGACGCGGCCGTGACGGCACTGACGGCGTACTTCAATAAATGCTGGAGGGCCGGCAAGCTACCACGCCAGTGGAAGGAAGCCAAAACCATCCTCATTCCGAAACCAGGCAAGTCGCCCGACATCGAGAATCTACGCCCAATATCCTTAACATCGTGCATGGGTAAACTGCTAGAGCACATCTTAATGACCAGATGGCAACAGTACCTCGAAGAGGCAGAGCTCTACCCGGATTCTCTCGTCGGCTTCCGAAGCAAGCTTGGAACGCAAGACGCCATGCTCCAACTCAAGAAGGAGATAGTAGACTACGAAACTCACACCAGCGACAACAGGGCAATACTGGGCCTGGACCTGCAGAGCGCCTTCGACAAAGTCCGGCACTCTGCGATCCTCGCCCAAGTGTCGCACCTGAACATGGGACAGAGATCTTACAATTACATTCGGGATTTCCTGACCGACCGCACGACTCACATCTGCGCCGGGGATCTCCAACTACCAGAGAAAACGCTCGGCAGCGAGGGGACACCACAAGGCGCAGTAATCTCTCCGCTGCTCTTCAACTTGGTCAGGATCGAAGTCGCCAACCGGCTGCGGAGCGTCGATGGGGTACGCCACACGGTTTATGCCGACGATGTGACGCTGTGGGTCACCGGCGGCAGCGACGGCCACATAGAGAATACACTACAAGAAGCAGTAAAAACGATAGAGGACCAACTGAAGGGATCGGGGCTGGTGTGTTCCCCCGCAAAGTCGGAGCTGATGGTGATTCCACCCAGGGGAGCGAGCCGCAAGAAGCAAACTATCCGAGACTGCGATAAAATCCGCATACGAACGCAAGGGGGGCACATCATCCCTGAGGTAGCCAAGATTAGAGTGCTGGGCATGATCATCGAACGCAGCAAAGTCAACGGGGCAACGGTCTCCAAGCTCGAAGCTAAGACCGGCACGGCACTGCGTCTCATACGCCGCGTCGCCAATAGAAGAAGCGGGATGAAGGAAGCAAGGCTCGTCAGACTGATTCAAGCCTTCGTGATGAGCCATATCACCTACGTCGCCGCCTTCCATAATTGGCGGCAATGCGAGCGGAAGAAGATCAACGCAATGATCCGCAAAGCTTACAAATCAGCATTAGGACTCCTAGGATGCACGAGCACGCAGAAGCTCGAAGCCCTGGGACTCCACAATAGCCTGGGAGAGATCGCCGAGGCACAGCAGACGGCGCAGCTCACCAGACTGTCGGGAACCAGGACCGGCAGATCTATCCTCAAACAACTAGGCATCGGAGCCAAGGAAGACGACCACCGGATGCAGGAGCAGATACCGCGGGAGCTGGGCAAGCACATCGTCGTGAGCCCAATCCCGCGGAACATGACTCCCACATTCCATCAAGAAAGAAGAGAGGCGAGAGCCAAGGCGCTGATCGCGCTACACGCCGGCGATGAGGGAGCCGTGTTCGTGGACGCCGCCAGTTACAAGAACATCGGCGACGCCTTCAGCGTTAGCGTGATCGGAGCCAAAACGGGTGAGATCAGGATGGCGGCCAGCGTGCGGACCACTGTGCCCAGCCAGGCAGAAGAAGTGGCGGTAGCCCTCGCCATCGCGGACCCCAGAACGAAGACGGTGTTGTGCGACTCGCGAACGGCAGTGCGCAACTTTGCGAAACAGCGAGTATGCAGTGCGACAGCGCGCATCCTGCGAAAGGCCGAAGTCAACGGAGTCATCACCAGTGCGGTGATAAAGTGGTTTCCCGCCCACGCGGGCGTGGAAGTGGCGGGCTCGCTGGGGCTCACCAACCACAACGAGACGGCCAACTCCGTGGCGCGTGGACTCGCCGGCCGCGCCCCGGTCACGGCCGCCGCCGACGTGGTGGATCGCCCCGAGAAGGACACCATGGACGCTTACAACGAGGTAACCCTGTGGTACCGGTTAGCCAGAAGAACGATGGCCCTGCCCCACCCCCGTCTGACGCGGGAGGAGGCGGTGGTATTCCGCCAGTTACAGACTAACTCCGTGATAACCCCAGTGTTAGCAAAGCACCTGTGGCCGGAGGTATACGTAACAGACTTATGCAGACTGTGCGGGAAGGAAAGGGCCACGTTGGCCCACATCCTGGAAGACTGCGAATGCGCGAAAGCGGACAACAGTGCAGACGTTCTCCCGCCCCTCATGGAGGAGGCGAAGAGATCCGAAGACTACGACGTCCAACACACGGCCGTCCAGCAGATCCTAGCGGCACTCGAGAAGCAGCGACCGGACGGGATGGAAGCAGAAAGGGTTAACCCAAGTACGCTGAAGCCCGCCGCGAGCGGCTCTCCCCGCTAAGAAGACGTCCGGCCACGTCGCCCCAAGAACCCACCTGAGAGGGTGGGATGATAGGGGTTACTGCAGGAGACCCATTAAAGTTGCTCTCTCTCTCTCTCTTCTATTTAAAACGTGTTCCAGCCTATGCAACCACAAACTTTACCAAGAAACGCATGCGGGGAGTGCTACGTGCTTATCATCTATCCCGTGGTGCTGACACTTCTTTTGTGGTTTTCTTATTGAAACAAGTGTCAAAACCGCATGAGGATATAAGGCACTTGCGAACGATGATGAGGCGACCGAAGACGAGGCGAACGCGTGGGTTTTCGTGTCGACTACTGTTCTGTCAACGAAAACAAAAAGACCTGACCAACGAGTTATCCTCAGCTTCTATGCAATAGAGCCACAGAGAGGCACATACGCGGCCAAGTCGTGGCGTGCGCATTAGAATAGGTCGGAGCGGGCGGCACCTCACTATGCGACGTAACGTGGATGCCGTCACTGGTGGCGCTGCCAACCAGCTGTCAAGGTGGAGCGGCACGCCCCAATAGCTGTCGCACGCTGCGAACAGGCTCGGAAGTGATGGCGTCTCTTAGCAAAGCGTCGACTGCCACTCGAAGTCTCACAGGAGCTTCCGCCTACCAGCTCGAACTGCCATCGCGTCCTCTTCGGTGCACGTGCAAAGGTTAAAATGAACGAGTTTACATTAAAGCG